AGGAAAAGGAAAAGGAAAAGGAAAGGAAAAAAGAAAAAAAGAAAAAACTGCCTTTAAAGGATCGATTTGATTTATTATGGTACAAAAGCATAAAATGCCTGATCAAACATATGATTATGCATGTTGTCACTAGAGGGCAGAGTTACAGCAATTCAAATACTTCAATTATGTATTAGCATATCCTAACGTGCACGAATGTGTAATCCTTAAAATTTCTGGGTTTGTAATGTTTATTTTGGGGGCAACACCAACCTATAGTAGTTTTAAATCTACATCACTTATGTTCTTTTAACCTTAGCTCCAACTTTTTTCTTTTTTCTTTTAAATTGTTCACATTATGGCAGCACAAAAAACAGAAAACCCCTTCCCCAGGTAACTCACAGTCTATATGGCAGTCAGGATCCAACATGTGAGCTGAAAGGAACAGTTACCAAAACAATGCCAAAACCCCGCCAGACATCACAGCTTACTATTTACCTGACCATAAAATTGCCTTTTTCTAAGCACTACAATAGAATGATATCAGGCTAGAAGGTAAAGATTTAAAAGAAGAAAAATTGGAAGTTTTATAAGTGTGGATAGGGTGCACCCCTGCTCAGGTCCTCAACAGAGAAGCAGGCAGGCAAATGATCAGAGTCGGCATCACTACTTGAGCGAATCCAGAGACATCAACAACTCCATGAATTTACAGATTTGGCTAATATGAGAGGGTGAGGGGTTAGGGGGCGGCAGGGACAGGAATCGGGCATCAGTGCTGTGATAAAGAAAATTATTTTTTTGATTTCTACACCAACCTCCCCAAAAAGGCTCATAAACTTCTTACAATAACAAAGGCATAAAAACAGATAAAATAATAAAATGATTACCCCCCAAATACCCAAAGCTTAACACCCCCCTGCTAAAAGCCTGCCTAAATAAAAAGGTCTTACACCACTTCTGAAAGATGGCCACACTCAAGCTCCGACAGACCTCAAGTGAGTGGTAATTTCAGAGCTGCGAAGCAATAACCTCTTTTCAGGAGACGCCACTCAGGGTTGGACAGAGCACTCCTACTTGCCGCAGCTTTACCGCACAACCCTGATGCAGGCAGGCACACATGCCTGGGCCACAGCCCTTCCGGATCTGGATGCACCAGGCACGTGGGGCAGTCCCATGTGGCCACAGGAGCACCCACACTGCAGCACCTCTGAAGGGATTAACTCCAGTTGAGAACCACCACAATAAGCACTGCCTTAGGAAAAATAAATCTCAAGTTTTGCAGGTTTTCCAGAACAGCTGCCAATTTAGTTGGAGGAGAAATACCACTTAGAAATAGCTAAAGAAGTACAGATGAAAAAAATACTTTGAAGGCAAGAAACTGTGAACAGTTCACACATTCTCCTTCCACTCTTACCTTTATCCCATTATACTTGTGTCTTGCACCCCAGGCACTCAAAAGCAAGGTGATTGGTAAACGTCTTCCCATTAATATTTATATGGGAGGAAATAACAAGACAGAAGGGATTTGGTACGTTTTAGCGGTGAGTTGGTACCTACAAGTTCTACTGCAAGTCACAACGCTAGGTATAAAACGCTATACTTTCTCACATACAACACTCACCAAAATAAGATACACACCTTGTTTTTGAAAGGCAGAATGAAACAAAGATGCTTCCTTTTAGTAAGTCACTGAGTAGCAGTAGCTAGGAGGCTGAGCCCATTTGCTGCTGCTTATTAGAAGAAAAATCAGTTAGAAGGTGGCATTTCCAAATGGAAACGCTATATTTACTATTTCAATTAACACCCAAATTACCAATGGGATTAGGAAAAATATTATCTGTTTTTTCTATTTATTTTATAATTCTGACAGCATTTTGTATGTAATTATAAGGCTCTAACCAGTAATGGAGATGAAATGTTGCATGTCTTCAGAGGAAAGAGAGAAAACTGAATATGGAGAAAACTGACATTGTGGTGGGTTAGGTACGTCTGACTTTCATTTCTCTTGAGCTATGCAGATCATTATACTTACCAACAGAAAAACAAAAAAATCTTTAAAATCAAAGATCATCTGCATTTGTACTTTTTAAAAACTCTAAAGAGTGAAAACAATGTTTATTTTCTCACTTCTAAAAAGCATGAGATCTTCAATGTTCCCTTAGAACTAAAAATAAGCATTTGGTATTTTTAATCCCATTAACGTTGGGGAAAGCAAAGTTGAATCCCAGCCCTTCTGGTACACAGAATATTGTTTACTGATTTTTAACCACTTAGATCTGTGAACAGCAATTAAAGACTGAGCAACCTTGAACTGTGCCAAGCTTTCCTGGGCACATGCCAAGTGTGGGGCCATGCTCTATGTTCCCCAAATACTAGACACATCCAGTAAAGCCACATTCTAAACATGAACAACCCAAAGGCTGTTCTAACTTCTGCTGGCTGTCAAGACCCCAAGACCCATTCGTGCGAACCAAGATAGCTCCTACTCTTCTACAGCTGCAGCTCAGAACAATGGCTTTGAATCGCCCACAATTCCCATGCACTGGAAAGGTTCCTCCACTGATCAGCTAAGTCCATCGTAGACCTGCAACGTGCTAACATTTGATAACACTTACTCAGTCTCAATGAGGCCACACAAGTGGTAGAGGACAACACTTGATCTGAGCCTTCAAGAGGCCGAGAAACGGCAACTTGATGCAACTTCCAGATGTTCCACTGCTGCCTATTAGAAAATCAGGCCATTCCCACTTTTAAGTAGAGCTCAATGGATTTGGAAGGTCACAGAGACATGGCAGGCAAGGAACTCTAAAATGGTATTCCTGTAGCCAATCTGCACAGTAAAAATACCATATATTCCTATGTCCCTTATTTTGGCTCACATGATAAGACTCAGGAGAAGGTAACATAGATGCCTGGGCACACTGAGTCCATGCTGCTGTTCAAACCAATTCCTTTTTCATGTGCACACACCACTTGTTCATACCTACATAAACAACTCAAAAGGATCCTAGGCAAAGCAGCAGGCACATAACTCTTCACTAACAAAATAATTAAATCTCAGCAGAGTTAAAATGAGCACTTCAACAGGAAATCAGGTGACCAAGTATTTACAGAAACTTTTCTCACCCTTCACCACTGGAGAAATTATTATCCACAGCCTTCACTCAAAACTCTCCCAAACAGCTTCAATAGCCCTGCTGACCACAGCTGTGGTAATAATATAGTATGAAGCGAGAGGCCAACCCAAGCTATTTAGAGACCTACAAGTAAGGCTGCAATTCTGTTATAGTATGGTAAGTGTCCCACCTGCAGCAGGGGAGCAAGTTGCCAAGGTTGTTTGCTCCACGGTCACACAGGTAGGCAATAACCTTACTAAATATTTCTGTATTTGGGAGCACTGCCGCAAAGGAGTTGTGTACCTTATTCAAAGGAATAATGGCCATAAGTTGACTGAAAGTAGATTCAGGCTAGATATCAGGAAGCACTACTTCAGAGTCAGGGTGGCTAGGATCTGGAACCAACTTCCAAGGGAAGTGGTGCTCGCTCC